TCCTGCCTGATGTTCAGATTTTTCTGTATAAATGAGTATTTTACTGTCATTTAGAAGACAAAACAGTAATGAAGTAAACTAAGGGTACTGTTAGGGTTACTGAGGTCTTAATGCCCTCTAAATACCACAAGAAAAGTTCTGTGCAATGCTTTCCTCATAAAAGAGCTAACGCTGTTTTTTGTGTGGTTGGCAGGGAGATGCTTGCTTAGCTGGGCACTTCCTGGTCATATTAGCATAGCCCAGCCTATATCGAACATACACCCAGTAATACCTCTTTTTGCCACTGGACTGAGGCCAAAAGCGCAAGCATTACAGTGAATATAAGATGGGAGGTTACTGGAAGGAATCAGAATCTAACATGAGACTAGACCAACTTTTTGAAAAGAGCAGAAAAAGAGCGGAAAATGTTATCTTTACTATAAACAATTCTTGCATTTCTTACAACTGTTTATATGAGTGAAACATTTAACAAGTGTTTTTATTGAATGTAGAAGAGAATAGCTGCAGAAATCTGAGTGCTTCTGTGTTTTTTTTTTTTTCCTTCCTCTATAGTCTTGGAACTGTAAAATCTAAGAAGATAACTGGAGACTGACACAGATCAGGGTAATTCTACGCTTGTGCTTTCTTCTGAAAGAGGAACTTCTTTGAAGAGTGGGAATAATGACAGGGACAAAAAGAAGAAGAAGGGCATTCTGGAGGAAGATCCATGCTGTTCGCTTTGAAGATATCAAACTGTGGTGTATAAGAAGGCTGCCCATTTTGAAATGGATGCTTATCTACAATTGGAAGGAAAATTTGATTCCTGATACAGTTTCTGGGGTGATGCTAGCCATTCAACAGGTGACCCAAGGTACAGTTAACACATCTGAGATTCATATTTAAAATCTGGTCATGTTGAATTGCTGTCTGATTTTCTTTTTTCCTTTTTTCTTTTCTTTTTCTTGTTTAATAATATCTAAAAGCTTGGATTAAAACAAAGACAATATATCTATTGCTAGATTTAATCTAAATGAAAGTAGGAGAAAAATATTAGTAGTCTTAATTCTTAGGTGTATGTAATGGATGTGTAAGTATGGATAGAAATATACTGTGTTAGTAGCTGATTTCTGTGACCTGGAACGTTAATATCTGTGCTGTCCCTTGGACGCTTTTTCAAAGACAGATTATAGAAGATAATCTGGTGTATGGTTATATACAACGTATTATCAATTAAATGACTATCCTTCCCTATGTCATATGAAAAACAAAATACACCTACAAAATAATTGCTTTATAAGAAATCCTTTTCTGCTCTAGGAGCAAACTTTGGTATTATACTGTTACCTGTGGAAACCTGGAGAGCAGCAGTAAAAATTACCAGCATTCTGTGCATAGAGGAGGCTTCTGGCAGGGCCATTATGCGCAGAGGGGTTCTGCCTGCATGCAGGCCTTGTGTATTCCAGCTTCTGTGTTGGGTTCATGTTGTATTACTTTACCTATCTCATCTCTTTTCAAATAGCAATATAAAGTAGGGGTGGAGCTAGACTCCATTTGGCAGCCTGAGAAAAAAGGGAAAAAAAAAAACCAGAAATAAATTCCCATGACCCGCAGGAGCCAAAAAGCCCCTGTAGTCTGGGCTTGTAAAGTGGTTGCTTCTGGGAAATAAATATTTTTGTCCATTTTTTATAAGTCTTTGATAATGTCACCTTCTTCAGGTAATATTTTATACTTGTCCCAGGCAAATCACAGCTTCTTATCTGCCTCAGATGGACTTTAACTCCTTCCCTTATGTAAACTCTATATGTTAACTATACTACTAGACATATTATTTATTATTTCTTTACAATTTCTCATATTAGCTATGCTTAGCTATCATTCATGTTGTTAAATTATAAATGTTCCTTTAATTGAATTACGCTGGAGCTGGAAACAACCGGTTTGTGTAAGTATTTGTGCTTTTAAAATAATTAGGAACATCTGCGTTGGCATGATTTAGCTTTAAGAACCTTAATACCGTAACACTATGAAGTATCTAATTTCATTGGTATATGCATGTACAACAACTGTAATTAAAATGCTGCTAATAACAGTATGTTGAAATCCATCAAAAATGTTAACAGCAGTTCTACATTGCTGGCAGTTTTAGCCAGGATTTTCTTGCTTGAATCTTGTACCCAGAAGTAATTTAATGTACCAGATAAATTTAAGAAGACCTACTGAAGCTAAAAAATGTTATTTTTGATTTTTTTAGATTTTTTTTATGTATTCCAAAAGGTATTTTATCTTAATTTTATTTTATGCTGCTTAAAAACAAATACCCTTTCCTCCTTCTGATTGCTTTTCCTTTCTCTCTCCTCACTTCTCAATATTTTAGAATGATTTTAGAGGTTGAAAAAGGAGGATAGTTAGATACCAAAATGTTTTATCATGCTTGTAATATTCTAACCTGAATAGAACCTATTTATTTAGACCTTGCTCACATTAGCTCTTTGCATAGTGTCATAATTCTTCCAGTTTCCAGAATCAAATTTTAGTGTTTTCAGAGAGTGTTATGCAAGAAAATAATAAGTCCAATTTGTTACATAGCATGAAGAGTAAGAGACATCAAATTTTGAGAGTTCTTGCTGTGACTATTTTCCTTCCACCCACAAAATAAAGCAAGAAGTCCTTCAATAAAATGAAAGGCAGAAATTCTAACAAAGGAAGGAGCAATTATAAACCACTGAAAACTGACATGTAGAGCACAGTGTCATTTGGTGTTGCAGCAATATGTTTAAGTAAACATCCTTCAAAGAAGGATGAGGTATATGGAAAAATCTGCAGTTGTATTAGTGTGCTAATCAGTTTTCTGAGTGATAAAAGCCCCATTCTCCAGGGTAGAGAACAATGCAATCACTCAAGAATAACTAACAAAGATCCTCCATCTCAGCTACGTTTTTCACGATTTCATCTGATATTGCCCAAGTTCAGACTATTCAGGATGGACAACTGCTCTGATTTGGTGTAGTGTTGTTCCCATTCCTAAACAATTTTAGACAATATAGTTGGCCTTTCTTTGTTAGGGAAGGGAAGTAAGGAAAGAGGGAATTCGCTGTACTTGAACCATGTGTCATAGTCAATGCAACAAAGATAATGCTACTAATTGCTCCTCTTAGAATTTTTGAAAATTGTTTCTGAAGAGTTGTGATACAGTAGCAGTTTTTGTAGTCTGCTTTATGGGGTGGGTGGGTGGGAAGAGCAGATTAAGCTAAAGAAGAGCAATCAGGGTACGCAGATAATGTTGGCTCTAACATATATAAAAGTATCCTTTATAAAAGTATGGGCTAGTTCAGAATAGCTGTTCTTAATGTCAGCTTTTAATTTGAATTAATTTTTTAAGAGCTACTACCATTAATTTTCTGATTTTCAGTGTCCAAATTATTGATCTCTCACATGACTTATGCCTTCAAACTCTAAGATACCCAAGCTAGGTTCTTGAAAATGGAATGGCTTGAGCTCATACATCACTTACTTTAGGATTAAATACCTTCTTCCCTCACTGCACACTTGAATGAGAATCTATGCCCTGCGGTGCCAGAGTCTAGGAATGGTGTACAAGAAGCGTGTGCTACCTGAATATTTAATTGTCTCTACTTTTGCGTGCAATGTGGAAGAAATGGATCTTTAGAAGGTAAAGTTACCTTGCCTTCAAGGTAACACCTATGCCTTAGTGCCTGAGGTGTTATCCTATGCTTAGTCTATGACAATATTATCCAATTAAAAAAAATATATAAAAGAATCCATAAGAAATTATATAATAATGTCTACAGAGCGTGAATCTTTTGAAGCTGCCCTTCAGATGTTCAGAAGCGTGTTTAGAACATGCCCAAGTCATATTTGATGATTCAGAGGGAATTCATAGATTAGTAGTATTCAGTATAAATAAAGATCCAGTACTGGGGTGGGGGAGAGGGGATACAGGAGGGCAGGGAGATGAGGAGGAAAAGCTTGGGGCTAGTGTGATATGTGATGTCATTTGTGATGAAAGAGGGCTCAACTCGGGGTCATTGCTGAAACCAATCTGTCGTTCTCAGTGCTTTCTCCAAGTATTCTTATAGTTTCTTCATTGTCCTCTTCTTTGGATAATAGCTAAAAATGCTGCTGCTGAACATGTCTGTCCTATTTGCATATGGAAACAATATTTGTACTGTCTTTGTGTGTCCTCTACTTTTAGATTCCTTTTGCTAATTTCCACAAAATTTTGACAGAGAAATAGAGGCATCAAAGATAATTATGCTTCTAAAAGTTATATATGAAAATAGCCAGTGGAAACAAACCCTATGAATTCTAAAAAGCTTGTAATAGAAACTCTTAGCTTGTTAGGCATTAGACAATCTACATAGCAAGAAAGCCCTTACAAATGCCCTGATTGCTGGAAAGCTTTAGTTGGAGCTTACACAATCTCAGACAGCAAAGACAGTCAGCCCTGAGTCAAAATCAATAAGAGAAACTAGGCTTCATTAGTTTCAACTCACAAAACTATCATTTAATAGTACAAATCTCAACACCTCATATTTCAAACATAGAATCATTACTCTTATATGTAGCTAAGGCTGAAAAATAACCTTAGAATCTAAAAGGAACTTTGTCACCTGCTCTCTTGAAGTTGGCTATATATTTTCACAGACAGTTAAGAAAATTGAGCTTCTGTGTTTTGATAGTCACTACTTAATATTTATCAAAAATCTGGTTTTTAGAAACTAGAGCAATGTCCTCTACAATCAACAAATAAATGCGTCCTTCACTTGCTTCTCTAACTTATACTTTCTTCCTTTCTCCTCTTATCTTTATAACTCATTAAATACCCCACTAAGAGTCACCATATGAAGATATTTCTTTCAGTTTCATTCCTCACCTATACACACAAATTCAACTACAGTGTCCTTATAAATGACTGACGAGTTCATAATCTGTTTTTTTTATTTTCAAACTGAAATTGTGTTAATTAATAAAATAAAGGTTCTGCAGGGTAGGTAACTAGATGTCAGCAACCCACTCTCACATTCTTTGCTAATCAGTGGAGATCTGTTTGATACAGTTAATGAAATTTATGATGTGAGTCATCTGACAAAATGTAGGTGTCTACTTTGCCAAGGCTAATTGATTATATTGACAAGATTTCCATTGAGTGTTATAGGAGACTTGTGCAGATGTGGACACTGATGTGGTAGACATTGAAATTCAGGTGTAATGTTTCCTACACAGCGTACTGTGGCATTGCGGGTAATCAGCAGCTCATGTTTAACACAATTAAAAGCAAGTCTTAAGGGTTTCCTTTCTGTAGCTTGTCCACTGAGCTACCACAATAATACCAGGATTCTGTTTGTGGCTCAGTCTTGTGACCCGGACAACAACATCTGCTTAGAAGAAATGCAGACTTTTATCAAGCTATGTTTAAATTTTTCTGAATTTTCTTTGTATGGCAATATTAAGATGCATTAAGATGTAATCTTTCCATGTCACTAAATCTCATAAAGTTGTCATCCTATTTTTTCTCTATTTTTCAGAGTGCAGCTGCTCAACTCATTTTAGCAGTCTATGGTAACTCTTTATTGCTCTAAGCAAATTACTTGTCTTTACTTCTAAGGCCTTTTGTAGCTGGTCTTCCCTGGCATCATTTATTTATTGTCGAGGTATAGATCAATTTCTCATTAATCTATTTTGCTAGCCTTCTTCATCCAATCTTATCTTTTCAACCAAATACTGTTGTGCCTTCTGTCAGGATTTGAATTAAGCCATGAATGTTGGCTGGTAAATCATATACTCATCTCAGTATTTGATTTTGGATTATTATTTAGAATAAGTGGGTTTTTCTTGGGGGGAGGGGAGCTG